GCTCTCTGTCTCTCATTCTCTCTCTCTCAAATAAATAAATAAAATCTTTAAAAAAAAAAAAAATAGAGCTAAGGTCTAAGGAAATGTTAGTATTTATTTTCTGTCAAGAGCAGCAATGACAGGAAAGAGTCCACTAAAAATTACAAATTATTTTATACAAAATGGAAGAGTGAAAACATTGTTACTGTTATCAGGAAGTCATTAAATTCTATTAAAAATTATTAAAAACCTAATTTTCCATTGAGTAATGACTGGTAAGTAGGTAGATATAAAAAGATACAATTATTCTTTTTATAAAGCTTCTATTTTGGGCTATCTGGGAGGTTCAGTTGGTTGAGCATCTGCCTTCAGCTCAGGTCATGATCTCAGGGTCCTGGGATTGAGCCCTGCATCGGGCTCTCCAGTCAGTGGGGAGTTTGCTTCTCCCACTCCTACTCCCTCTGTGCTCTCTCTCAAATAAATAAATAAATAACTCTTAAAAAAAATTTATATTTTATCTGAGGAGGCAATACTGTACCCTATTAAAATCATTAAATACAAAAAAATGTGCAGAAATATGTTCAGTATCATACTCTGAGAGATGAAGAAATTTATCACTAACGTTTATATTTATAATCTATTCTTGGCAGTCTTTTCATCCTATTTCACTGGTATGAGTTTTTCCTTTTTACCTTATCAAGTACTGTAGTCAGGTGCTCCTTGCAGGACAGAGACTGGAATAGTTCTATGCACAACAGAGATGATACTGCATGAGGAAGCAACCGATGGATGATAATAGGAGATGTGGCAATTCCAAAAATGAGTATTAGTGGAAATTCATGTAGATGTTGACTAGTTTTCAAAGGAAAATATAAAAGGGATTTCATTAGGAAATATATTTCAATACATCAAATTTCAAATTAAGACAACCTTTATTTGAAGGAGTACGGTGTAAGACACTGCTGAAGATATCATTCCAAATACTCAAATTTTCTACGTCACGCAGTTTCCTCTGTTAAAGTAATATAGTTATTTCCCCACACATTCTAGCTCTGAAATCGATCTATTAACAGATCCTCTCATTTTATACATAAGTACACAGAGGTCCAGAGGGATCAAATGCCTCCCTCTAAGGTTATACAATCTCAACTGTTAAAAGAGTTAGGAATCATTCAATGTAACCTCTCAGTCAAAGTTTGAGCCCTAGCTACAGTCTTCCTAACAGACATCCAGCCTATGCTTTTTAAGAGTTCAGTAACATGTAACTCACAAACTTTCAAGGTTAACTTATTCTATTTATGCACATATCTAACAGACACTATGTCACCCAGCCATACATAATAGCTAAGAGTTAGGAAACTTTCCTTACACATATATAAGACCTATTTTTAAAGGACACTGTTTAAAAATGTTACATCCTTTCCTTGAATTCTTAACTCAAACTTATTGGACATGATTTATTCTGAGCATTACCAGTATGAACACAAATGACTTCCAGAGAGTAAAACAGAACTATCTTTGAGAGCTATTGTGGGTCTGAGCCCTTTGTATCATGGCTGATGACTCTGCATGCTCCCTCCTATTGGCTATTGCATTTCAGTATTCTAGCAATATGCAGTTCTACCGTCATAGAAGTACAGTGCCTGGATTCTGTTACTGCTGTAAGTTCTTCCTCACTTTAGATGGCAAAAGTAGCCACAAATTTAAGCTCCAAAAAAGAAGACCTCTTCTGCATTTTGAAAGCACATAAAGCAGTTTAGTTTTAGCATTAAGAAAAGCCTTAGGATCTAGAAATCTTAGTTTCAATGGGAAAAAAAGACACCATTAAAATAGGAATTACAAGTTTATTAGTAAATTATAACACAATATAGCTTTAGGCAAATGTAGCTATAGCTATCAAGCAAGTTTACATATAGAAAAGGCCAAAATAAATTATATCCTAAAAAAATGTACCATGGGAAATACATGTCACTGGATTTTAAATAGGGTTAGTTACTTCAATTCTGAATCTCACAGGACTGCCTTGAAAATCCAATGAGACCATGAACAAAGTAGTTTCTCACTGTAAGTATTATACAAGATAATGTTATTTAGAAAACATACTTGCTCAGAAGAGCATATGTAACTCAGAGCTTCTAAGGGTGGATAGGTATCAGAAAATAAGACCTGACAAACATATCTCAATCTGGAGTAGTTTATCCACTTAATGAGAAAGAGACAGATAACCTTGGTGAGAAAAACTACATTTTATACTGCCTTATCATACTAATTAAAAATTGGTTAACTTTAGTCTTTTGATCTCATTTTTGGGTCAAAAAGCAAATGGAAATCCGATAGGAGGTCTTTGAACATTCAATTATAGGGAATTTGAAATCACTCTGGTTTCTATCCAGTTGGTATTAAAATGAGGATTAAATTGCCATTCATTTTCTCTGGAAAAGGGTGTTCTTCAAGCTAAAAGTTATATGTTTCCTTAATAAAAAGAATTTTATGTAAAAGCCAGGTGATATATCATCTACCTGCAGATAATTATGAAGTCTTGGAGTACTTTTGTGGTGAAGCTTTCCATATCCTTTAAGATAAGCACAACAGGAGGAGACTGCCATTGACTAGTAGAAGTCCTCTTTTTCCTTGGCATTTTTGGGTCTGTCTTCTTTTAAGCCATTGTGAAAAGAAAGAGTTAAAAGTAAGCCTTACCACCCAAACGATGTTACAATGCCACATGTTGATATATCTCCCTTTACATTTTACAGTAATGCTGTTTCTTTTATTTCTCCCACATAATAAAGAGAAACTCATTCCAACAGTTATTTGAAGAATCTTTCTGTGTCTGACAGGGGAATAATAACCAAGAAGAAAAAGGTTCAGTAAATCTATAACTCATATAAAATATTTATATTTTCTGCTATCTGAGAAAACTACAGAAAAAAGCATGGGGAGAAGATTTTCTATAGATTATTTTTTCTGTTAAAAGAATGTTTTACTTTGCTTTGCTTTAAGGTGAGAACTAGTATTTTTAAATACAAAGCCCAATAAACAACACTACTTCGCTACTCTGCTACTGTTCAACCTTAAGTTGAAAAGCATCTTTAATATTGTCTGGTCTAATCCCCATCTTTCAAGGATATCTGACATAAACTGAATGTACATTTGATTTCTAGAAAATTTAAAATTGTGGACCAAATTAAGATATTATGGTGAGCATTAGACCCAATTTCATCCTTATAAAGCAAAAATGAAACTTCACTCACGACTGACTTCAGCAAACACCTTTATCGGAAAATGTCACTGCAGTGTTTTTTCCCGTACTATCTAGCTACACAGCACCATAAACTAAAGCTGTGGTTTTATAGTGCAGTTCTCCATGAATCACCTAGGTTATCCATTCTCACCGGGGACTATCAGGGTAGAATGGAACTTCCTGTCAGCTGTTTGTTGAATATACTTTACTTACAGACCATTTATTCCCAAGAATTCTAAATGTGGATCGAATTAGGTTTTTTTTAAAAAAAACGACTATTTCTCATTGGACTATGTTGACAATGGGCACTGGCAGCACGGTTCTACTGCACAAAAGCAAATACTGAGAGACCTAAGAGATAATACATTAAAGTTATAGCCACTGTCACAGAGATAGAATCTAGAGCAGAAGCCATTCCTGAGGTTGTCTTTGTCACCAGATGACATTCTCCCGCAAATCAGATGGCCTTGTAAGAACTGAAACACTTATCAGGAATTAGACTGCATACTGAAAAAAAAAACTTTTAAATTCTACTAGCCTTATGAAAAATAAGCAGCTACTATTAATTAATAGCTAGAGTACATAAGCATATTCTTATTAGAACAAAATAGTACTATGTTTAATATAACTCTAAGCCTTTCAATCATACAACAATTTCCTGAGAGAAAATTGTCAGTTTACTCTTACCTGTGTGACATTCATATACCAACTGGAAAGAGAATCCATTGAACAATGTATCTTTTTCTGGGTGACCTGAATACTTCCCTCTTTGGATTCCTCATCTACACAGCAGCCCATCAACTGTGAGGCCAGTTTTTGTAAAAAATGTTTTATATCTGCAGAATGGGTAAAAAATGTAAGAAAGCTAGTATCTCTCTTTAAAACAAATATGAAACAGCTGAAAGCTCTTGATCAGTATACACATTTGGGTACAATGTGTTTTTCTATACTTAACATTAACATAACACTTAACATATTAACTGTTAATGTTCATTAGTATCTTCTCTTTAATATTTAAATTTCACTAACTCAGACTAACACTAGCCAAAGTTTATGTATATTGTCCATAATAAAAGTGTTACCTAAGCAAATGTGTAAACATGAAAATTATAAATTATATAAGAAGCAATCTATATTTAAATTACACTAGATAGCAAAAGGTTTTTAAGGCCTCTAAAAAAAGATATCAAAAGTGTTACTTACATAAGCTATTTTACTGATTACAAACCTTCCTTAGAGTCATTTTAAAAGATGTCCTAAGGGCTTTTATTTAATCAGTTCTAGTCAGTTTATGAATATGAAAGTAATATAAGCACATAAAACCCTTATGTAAATTCAAATCTAAGCCCATTTTACTTTCTTAGTGTCCATATCCTTTATGATTCAATGGCTTCATATACCTAAGATTGGCTCTGGTGATGGACTATTTTTTACCATGCTGGTCTTTCAGAGTAGAACAATAAGATGATTTGAGGCTATAAATATGAACCTATACAGTCTATACTCTGTTGGACTAAAGCTGCCAAATCCCCAATCCTTAATTCTCAGCTCTCTGTCCCAAACTTTCCAACTTACTCAACTTTTACTGGGTTAAGGAACACATCTCATAAAATGCCTAGTCTATTACTGGCTGTAAAGCTGATCTGGCAGGGGTGGGGCTGGAGTAAATGAAGCAAAAGGTAGCAGAGAGTCCTGCAACAGCCAAGATTACTGCGACAGGCAATAAACCTCATCCTGCCAAAAATGTAGTGCCATGCTCTTCCCACGAATAAAAAGGGATAAAAAAAGCTAGAGAGAGAAAGAGAGAGAGAGAAGGCCAGAAGAGATTTGTAACATCTCACCAAGGTTATTATGGCATTTATTCTGTACCTGGACAATCTTTAGCTTGCACTGAGACTACATATGGAGTGACATTATTCTGAAGGGCTTCTGTTAGACTTCTGAATGTTAAATCATGATCTGTTACGTTCACACCTATGGAATAATATCAGTATTACAACATCATTTGTATTATTAACAATTTAACAACAACAAGGCTAACATGTCAAGTGAATTACTAAATAAAAATATTTTTAAATACAATTAATAACAGAAACCAAAAAAATATACTGCGTAAGTGAAGAGACTGCCATTGACAATAGGTATCTGGAGGCATACACAATACTTATTTGTCAGAAAGGGTATTTTGCACAATTTCTCTTTAAAAGAAGTTACTGAGGATATGTAGTTAACCCTTGAAAATATCTTAGGAGTAATTTCGTTACTTTTGTCAAACTCATAAAGAACTCTTTAAACTAATGATTCAAAAATAAGGGCTACGGATTCCAGGCTTACTGTGACCCTGACTTAACACGTGAGGAGAATCCAATCACTAATACTGTTAATGATTGTTGTAGTAAATACAATAGGTAAAGTATACAGTAAGCTAATTTCTGAGGGAAGAGTCTAAAAACTAATAAAACTTTAGGTCCTTTAGGTATTTACTAAGCCCCTCTCGTTCTCATTTCCACAAATCAGAGTTTAGTGCTGTGCATGTAGTTATCAGAGTTAAGTGTAATTTCCCCACTACATGGGAAAAAAATTCTACTGATACTTTCCTTGACGTCACAATCTGTGATTTCTAGAAAGTGCTTTGGCACTTAGGCAGGTGCCAACAGTAAACATCCTGAAACTGGTTGATAATTGCTACTATAAAACTTCAACTGGCTGGAAGAAAAACAAAAGGTTCAGAATCCAGGCCTCCAAGAAGCAAAAAATTTTTTTCTAGGATAGCCAACAAATAAAATTTTTGGCAGGTTATTTTTAAATGGACATACACCTTTTTGAAAATAGGAAATGTGCAACTGTGCTTAAGCATTCTTTGACTATGGATTTTTTCTTTTTACAGTATCAAAATGATATTCCTAGACACATTATGGTCTATGATCGTGATACTGCATCTCTGAACAACTCTGGGAGGTTAGCAACACTGGAAGACAAGATAGTCTTCCACTGACTCACTTTATAAGCTATTTAACATTGAAACAAAAAATCAACAATGTCTTTAACTGGGAAAATGTTCTTGTCAGACTACTGACTTTGAAATATAACATTTCCATAGCTTTTCTCCTTTTGGCAGTAGGCAGAGAAGGGATTTAAACAGTGCTCTCAACAATCAAGCCACTGCTCTTGATTATGTTTTCCCCACTCCACCTCCAACTATTATAACCTGGCCAAGAGAAACAAAGTACCAAACAGTATAATCCAGTCATCACTGGGTCTCAGTTTCTCATCCATAAATGGAAAGGATTTTGAAATTAAGTGCAGGCTACGCTAAAAAGCTGTTCAAATTATAAAAATTATATAAAATTATTATAAAAATCATTCCCTGTGTGTTGTTACTCAGAGTAGTCCTGGGATCAGCAGTATGGGCATCAGCAGGAGGCCTGTTATAAATGCAGAGTTTCAGGCCCCACCTCAGACCTACTGACAAAAACCTGCATTTACTAAAACCCCCTGGAGGCTTTTGTAGGTACACTGAATTTTGATAAGTATTGCCCTGAACATGAGGAATGAGATTTAGGTAATGAACAGTATTAAAGGCAGTATTAACAAAATAAGTCCTTATCTCAGTGCTCACTAGTTTAACAAACCTTGAATAAATAATAAAAGTGCGATGAAGAGTACATTTGAAATCCAAATAAATCCAACTTTCTTTCCAAAAGAAATAAGGAAATTTGCTAGTATGCCAAAGAAATTTTTTTCCATTATCCTGCAACCAGATGTTTGGTTCAAATGGGACATTAATGATGGATATTTAAGTACCTAAGAAATTTACCACCTGCAGTTTGAAAGTAGTTTATATATAATTCATCCAAACCCCCTTCTAAACAATTAATATTAATACAGTATTATAAAACAATCTAAGATTGATAAACTAAGCACAGGGAAATAAAATTAAGGTCATAGATAATTCCACTGAAGAGACAATTAAAAAAACAAATCTATTTACCCACCAGTGGTTTATTACCAAATTCAAATCTCATATATTCTCATAAAATAACTAAAAAGAGTAACACAAATATATTTCCCCTTCATTTTTCTGACAAAGTTGAGGAGGGTACTACCTAATCCTGGATCAATTTCCTTTAATTTACAAACGTATGATCAGCACAAAGAACTTTTATTGGTTTTCAAAGTATGTAAAGCAAACAAGAATTAGTTTAATTCTATAAAAGAGATAAAAAAGTCTATCAAAACAGGTTATTCTTCACTATTCTCTACAACAAAACCACTAATTAAAAAAACAAACATACACCCATATATACCTAGAATGATAGCAGCAGTTGGAATTTCTCTGAGTTTTATTTGACAGCCCCAGTCTCTTAAATTCTTCTGAAATCCAGAGTAAGACTTTTGCAGAAATTCAATTAGACTATCGAACAGGTTTTTATTTAATTCCTCTTGTAGTTGCTATGAAGAAAACACAAAACTATGAATTTTTATCAGTAGTAATCTGATGCATCTTTCTAAGTTTGGGAAAGATAATTTGTCATTAATTCCAAAGATTACATGTAAAATGATTATTAGATGGAAGAAATTAAAAAAAAAATTTTTTTTCCTTAAAGCTCCAGTCATAGTGCTTTGGATTCCCTCACTAAAGAATCTCATTTATTCATTCAACAAACATTTACTAACCACCTTACAAATGAAAGGTAGTCTTTATCCTAAAACAGTGAAAAAAACAACAACAACAAAACTGAGCAAGAACACTTAACAATTAAAATACATTGGGTAGAGTGCTATGATGAAGAATAGGACCACCCAAGAATAGGACCACCCAACTTAAGCTGAGGAGGGGACATATTTGAGTCAAAGCATTAGAGCAGGTGATGGAGGAGGTGATTATATGGAGAAGAAGGTTAGATGGAATGGGGAGTGGAGGAAGCAAGGAAGGAAGCACCAAGTACCTGGGGAACCACAGACAGAGCTAAGCGTCAAGAACACGGGAAGTGGTAGGGAATGAGCCTGGACAAATAGGCAAGGGGCTAGGCCTATGAAATTATACTTGATGTTAAGCAGTTTCGATTTTATCCTGTGGGGAGAACCACTGAAGGCATGTGAAGGAGAGACATGATTCCATCAGGGTTAAGAAGGGGGAATCAGGCAGCACTGTGAAGGAGCTGGGGGAAGCTACACCAGCAGTGAGGTGGGAAAGCTCTTGCACCCTGGCACAGGGCTGTGCCTGCCTGAAGGGAGGGCTTTTCTAACTTGCCAATGGTGCCAGAGGGACTTAGTGACAGGCCTGAGGGGTCTGACATCAAAGGCAAAGACATCGGTTAGGAGGATCATCACAATCCAGGTTAAGAAATGAAGGCCTAAACTAGAAACCACAAACTCAAATACTTTCAAGGGTCACTTGGAATCCATAAATGAGCAAAGCCCTAGGTGGAAAGCAATAAAGAGTGGTGGGAAGCAGTAATAAACGAAGTGCATAACCCTCCCACAGGCATTAAAAAACAAAAAAAAGTACAACACCGTGTTGGTCAAACAAAACAAATCCACTCAAGATGTTGGCCCTACAGCTATGAATCTGCCATAGCAGAGAAATTATTTCAGAGCTGGAATATAAAGAACATAGAAACTGGACATGAGGATGAGGGAGTGAAGTAATTTAAAAATAGCTTGACTTCTTACTTGTATAACTGAATGGATAATTTGTTTATTTTTTAAAGATTTTATTTATTTATTTGTCAGAGAGAGAGCACAAGCGGGGGAGCGGCAGGCAGAGGGAGAAGCAGGCTCCCCGCTGAGCAAGGAGCCCAATGTGGGACTCGATCCCAGGACCCTGGGATCATGACCTGAGCCAAAGGCAGATGATTAATCAACTGAGCCACCCAGGCATCTCTGAATGGATAATTTAAAGAGTGTCACCATTTAAAAGTTGTGAGGATATGTAAAGAGCCCCTTGCCTTGGCAGCTATTATTATTAATGTATGTTCCAGTACCTGAAGCTATGCTTAATACTTGGAACATGAGCGTTTTTTAGAATATACAAATTATACTAAACTAATATTACCTATGTTTCATCAAGAGTCTTGAATAATGATGGAAAGGAAGATGGGAAGAACAAATATGAGATTTACGTTATTAGAGAAATATTAAGTCATTAAGAAAAGTATTCACCTCAGTTTCAAATTTCATCTGCTGCCATATCAAGTGATAAGTTTCAAATCGAAGCTTACTGTCCTCAGACTCATTTTTCCCTTTATTAAAATAGTCCTCTAAAAACACAGAAAGAAATAGGTCAGTTTCTTTTTTATATAATAAAAGTTAGAAAATCTCTGTGCAAAATCACACAGTAAGGGATGGGACTGAAATATGTATCAAAAATACATATATTTGGAGATAGGTAACATTCAATAACCTTTATATTTATTTATATATCTTATATTTTTACTATAGTAATTGTATCTATATGATTAAAATATCTTTAATTTTTAAGTTATATTTCTATCATGTACTTTTAAATTGCTAACAGTATTTAATGGATTTGGTTTGAGGCATAAACATTTAATATTAACATATTTTCATTATTTGCTCTTATTCGAAAGCCTTGTATACTACGCTTCATATATTTGCTCTGAACTCTCCTTTATGAAATGATGCTTACGATGGTTCTTGTTCCTTTATTCAATTGACATATGTTAGCCCAGCCTTTTATTTAGTCTGTCTGTATTATTTTATATGTTTTAATGTTTTCCTCCAAATGGTTAGCCATTCATCAAAACACCATTTATCAAAATACCGGTGGTTTTCAAACTTTTTAAACCATGATCCCCATTAAGGAATACATTTCACATCATTATCCAACACACAGATATTTAACAGAAACAAAAACAAAGGCCCCACAAAACAATACTTATCATGTGACAGCAAATGTTTTCTTTTCTATTCTGTTTTTTAAAACTATTATGACTAAGTTGATTTCATGACTCACACTTGGGCTTTAACCTTCAGTATGAAAACATTCACTTACTAAATAATCCATCCTTTCTCTCACTGATTTGAGGCGCCCTTGTTATCTCAGTACTTACAAATGTACTTGGAGCTATTTTTTGAACTTCTTCTTTTGTTCTACTGAATCCAAGTCTATTCCCAGAGCTGTCCTGAACTATTTGAAATCATTAAATGATTGGAGCTTTGCAGTACATTCACACAGGGAATAATTCCAGGTCTCCTTCCTACCACCACCGCACATAATCATTCTTCTTCAAAATATTTTAAGCCATTCTTTCAAATAAATTTTGCCATTGCTCAAAAATAATTACAATAGTACTTTGACTGGATAAAATAAAATCTGTAGGTTGATTTGGGAAGAAATATTTGTAATATGTTAGAAAATCTACATCCAAAACACTACAGGTCTCTTCCTTTAATCAATATTCTACATTCCTTGTAGTTTTCTACTTTCTTTCATATTTCTTATTGTTTACTACTAGGTATTTTATTGTAACAACTACAACTTTTAAAGGGTTCAATAACAGTGAAAATACCTATTTTGTTCCTGACTTCACTGAGAAGCCACTAGCATTTTACCATCAAGTTTTATGTTAACTAGTAGTTTGAAATACAGATTCTCTTTTATGTTAAGGAACTCTGCTTCTGTTCATAGTTGACTCAGAGTTTTAGGCAAGTATTTTTTTAATTTATCAAAAGCCTTAGAATATACTGAAGTCATCATGTTAAATGTTAAAATGGCAAATCAAGACATTACTTTTTTTACATGCTGAATAACGTGGCACCAAAATACTTGCCAAAAAACTCAGAAATTGGGAAACAACAGCAGCAGGACAATTTAACTTGTTACCATGCCTTCTCTCAGTCATTTATAGCTCAGGAAGGTAAAAAACAAATCAGCATTGAGAAGACCTACAGAGTATAAGCTCTCACTGTTGACAGGTTCCCTCTTGCTCCTACGCACAGCACTTGACTTCAGTGCGAACATCTCCTACAGGGCCAGAGTCACCACCCATCTCAGTCTCTCCCTCTCTCTCTCCTTCTCTCTCCAGTTCCTGCCCAGTCGTTTTCATGGATGTACAGTCATCCACAGAACACAGACGAGAGGGAGAGTTACCAGTCTTCTCTTAGGTATACATCCAAGTGTCTTCGAGTCAGGGGACAGATGGTGGGCAAAATGCTGGGCATCTTCCTACTTCTTCAGGCAATCTGTTTCAAGAATTGAAGCCAGTGAAGGCAAGTGCTAAAATCTGGATATGTTTTCCTTATTCCTACACCATCTGTCTTTTAATCAGGGTCAATTCCTCTAAGATTCTCATATTGAAACATTATCTATTGGTCTTAGGTCAGCCCAATTAAAAAAAAAAAAAAAAAAACCTAATGTACTTCAAAGCAAAGTTCAAATTATACACATTAGGTTTACTAATACTAGAACTTTGAACAAATCTTAGTAAGTTATAGCTGAAATTCAACAGAAAAAGTTCTAAGCAAAAACTCGCCTATTATGAGAGACAGTACCAAATAATGGTTAGACCAGAGGTTCTGGAATCAGACAACTGGGTTCAAACCCCAGCTCTGCCACTTACTAACACTATCATTGAGAGTTCTAAGTATCCTCATAGTATTTTAATGGAGATACTCATAATATATTCCTCATGTTTACTGAGAGGATTAAACAAAGGAACACATATAAAGAGCTAAGAATAATCTAGCACATAATAAAAACTCATTATAACTAATGACATTGCTGATACTAGATGTCATTTCATGCTCTGTATCCTAGATAATGGGAAACAAAACTTGAATTTTCTCTGAAAATGAACTACTTCGAGTTTAGCAATCTCCAACATTAAAGAAATATGTTCACAAGTCCATCACTTAAAAATAACTTATAATGTAGCTATTCTTTGTTCACTATTTCCAAGTCTATCAGTCACTTTTTATTGGGGGGCAGGGAATACAAAAAATTTCATGTTTCCTTGAGACTAAGTCTAAGAGAGTGTAGAACTTGAGATCACAGTTTATTTGCTAATGAGAAATTGGATTCTTATTATAAATCATATTTTCTACCCTCTGGTCCCCTCAATATGAACCATCATTTTATTATTTGCTCTTTGAGCACAGGTTTCTTATCTAGCTGGTCTCAAACTGAAGGAGTAACACCCTAAGGTCTGCATCATGCGATGATTTAGAAAAATCCTATTCAATAAATACAAGTTCTTTATTTCCTTAGTCAAACAATGGTTTAGTTCAGTTTTTCCTTTAATTCAAAGCTAGTGCATAAATATGCTTAATTCCACACCATAATTTTTCCATCAGAATTAATCTTTACAATACTGAATCGTGAATGTAAATAGTAAGCCTGTGAGGAGCTTTTAGGTTTCCTTTTTATTTAAGTTCAATTAATTAACATATAGTATATTATTAGTTTCAGAGGTCGAGTTCAGTGATTCATCAGTTGCACGGAACACCCAGTGCTCACTGTATCACATGCTCTCCTTAATGCCCATCACCCAGTTACCCCATCCCCCCACCCACCTTCCCTCCAGCAACCCTCAGTTTGCTTCCTATGCTTAAGAGTCTCCTATGGTTCGTCTCCCTCTCTGATTTCGTCTTGTTTTATTTTGCCTGGGTTTGTTTCTTTTACTAATTAGAATCATGCTGTATGTATTGTTTTCTGATGTGCTTGTTGGAGATGTTCTCAGCCTAGCACACTCCTTTTACCCATCATATATTCCACAGAATTAGTGTCACTGTTCAGATTGCTTCATTCTGCTGTTAAAATTATGCCCACTTTTGCGTACAAACTTGAGCACAGGGGCTGGAATTTGAGGGGGAGTGTCAGCTTGAGCCCTTGTCAATCTGAGGTGAAGGCTTGTTTACTTGGCGTTGAGCAGGTGGTAGGCCGTGCATGCTGACTTGGGCAGGAGGGTGGCTGGACTGTGCATTTGGGACCCACAGGCCAATGGCATTGTGTATGACAGGGACATGGCTGGAAACTCTCTCTCCTTCTATTCTAAATGAAAGCCTTGCTGGATAGAGTATTCTTGGCTGTAGATTTTTTCCTTTTAGCACTTGGAATTTATCATGCCACTCCCGTCTGGCATGCAGTTTGTGCCTGAAAAACCCAGTGATGGCCATATGGGGTTTCCCTTGTATGTAACTGCTTTCCTTTCTCTTGATTTTAAAATTTTCTCTTTCTCACTACTTTTGGCCATCTTACTTACTTTGTGTCTTGGTGCAGACCTCTTTGGTTTAGTTTTGTTGGGGTCTCTCTGGGGCCTCCTGGATCTGTATTTCTCTTTCCTTCCCCAGATTCAAGAAGTTTTCAGCTATTATTTCTTCAGACAAATCTTCTGCCCCCTTTTCTCGCTCTTCTCCTGGGACCCCCATCATGCGACTGTTATGCTTGACAGTGTCGCTGAGTTCCCTGGGTCTGTTCTCATTTTGTGTATTTTTTTCCCTGTGAGGAGCTTTTAAAAAAGTACCAATACCTAGGTACCACTCCCAGAGATTCTGATTCAATTGGTCTGAGATGGGGTCGGGCATGAATATCTTTAAAAAGTTCCCCAAGTTGAGATCTAAGTAAGGTCAATGGATTGTATCAATGTTAAGTTTCCTGGTTGTGATACTGTACCAGTTACCCAAAATATTACCACTGGAGATTACTGAGTAAAGGGTACAAAAAACTCTCTACACTTTCTTGCAACTGTAGGTGAAAATACAATTATATCTTTAAAAAAACCCAATTTTTTAAAAAATTTCCCCAAGTGATTCTAATCTGCAGCTACAATTGAAAACCAGTACAATACACATTTTCTGTTCTGACAGTAATGTCATGATTTGTTTGAAAAAGTCAATTCTTCCTAACATGATCACCAAACAGATATCTGGAAATAAATGAAGAAAGTGAAGAAAAACAGTATCTTTTTTTTTAAGTTTAATTTTATTGAGAAATAATTTACAAATTATAAAATATGCTGATTTTAACAGTTTAGTATGTCCTAACAAAAGTATACACTCACATAACTGTTCCCTCGATCTAGAAAACATTTCCGTTGGTCCAAAAAGTATCTCTTGCCCTTTTGCAGTCAACTTCTCTACCACACCCCAGGAAATCACTGAGATTTTTAAGACAGTCTCTCTCTTCTTTTTAAATTTCCTTTTGAGTTAGCCTTATTATTTTATTTTATTTATATATGTTTTTAAGTAAGCTCTGTGCCCCACGTGGGGCTTGAACTCACAACCTGGAGATCAAGGTTCACATGCTTTACCATCTGACCAGCCAGGCACCCCTAAGACAATCTCTTTTGAAGAATGGGGACATATCCTTTGAGGGAAATTTACTTTCTAATTTGCCTTTTGAAAGTATATTTGGATTCCCTTTTAGATTCAAAGTCCAGGATGTACCTTATCCCTTTGACTATACTTTGGAACATAACTGTTACATCAAGAAGCTAAGTAAGTCAAACTTAAGAGAATTACTAACTTCAACTAGGGTTAGGTAAGTTCAAGACTTAGGGGAGGAAATCTAGCCAATTCGCTACTAAGACATCTTACCTACTGGCACAGAGATCTTTCTCTTCTTGAAGTTTGGCTTAAACACAAAGCAGCCCTAAAAAAAAAAAAAAAGTAAGAAAGAAAAAAGCATAAAGTCAAAGTAGCCAAGGAACAGATAAATCTCATTAACCAAGTATTTTATGGATAAGCAGATTTTTTTTAAAAAGGCATTTCTTTAAAGTGCTAAGAAATTCTCTCTTCTATCTGAATTATAGCAGGAAAATTCTTTTTTAAAAAAGATTTATTTTTTGAGAGAGAGAGAGTGCACCCAAGTGCATGGGGTGGGGGGTGGGCAGCGGGAGAGCCAGAGAATCCCAAGCAGCTCCCTGCTCAGTGTGGATCCCGGACAGGGGGCTCAATCCCAGGACCCTGAGATCATGACCTGAGCTGAAATCAAGAGTTAGAGGCTTAACCCACTGAACCACCCAGGTGCCCCTAGCAGGACAATTTTTATACAACAAGGGGACTATCCATTTCTTTCTCCTCCTTCCCATGAGATGCGCATCTCGTGATTTTGCTCTTAGGGACCTAATCTAAGAGACAAATAAAATATAAGCTGATGAAATTTAAACCCAGAAAGGTTCCATTTTTATAAAACTTAAAGAACATTAGTACTATTCATTAAAACGAAGATCGAAAATAGTGACACTCTCTCATTTCAAAAGAAGTCTTTATTATTTAATTAAACTTCAAGTATCTATAACCTGGTCAGGAAATAGGTAATTTGGCTGTTGTTTCATCTTATACACCTTTCTTCATCTGATAAAAGTCTTACTCATCTGCTCTGGGAAACCGTCCCCAGTTCTCTAGTTAGAATTATTCCTTTCCCTAAGATCTCACAATACTTGAATGCCTTTATTTTGCTTTGTTTTAAATCACTTTCACTGTGTATCATAGTTATTTACGGGACTGTCTCACCAAGTAGTTTGTGAGTGCCTTCAGAGCACAGACTGCATATAATTCACAATTGTTTCCTCAGTGTCTAGGACAGGTGTTAGCGCAATCAGTATATGGAATGAATGCCTGCCAAGTAATTTTCCTGGTAATTTCCTAGCTACATTTAGTTTCATGTTATTATTTGACTGGTAATATATAGTCTCCAAGGTACTGGCTCTACGTTTATTCTACCAATCCTAAAGCCATGCACCATGTACAGCTTCTTAAAGACCCATTTTTATAGAAAATGAAAGAATGAAAAAAATATACCTAGAAAAAGTCATCTCAGGACAGTGCTAAAGAAAGCTGTGCAAATATAAAATGCCATTTGGATTACAGGATCCAAAATAAGAACTGTGCCTTATACTCCTGTATCTGCAACTAGTGAACTGCTGAAATACACATTCACATTTAGAAAAATCCTGTAGTACCACACAAGCTTGTCATTGCCTCCCTTCTATATCCACCTGCAATTCAGTAAAGGAAAAGGAGCTATGAAGGAGTGAGATATACAAGTGCCCATAATAGATCCTAATGTATGGCAGGTAGTAATATGGTTAACCACTTAGAACTGCTGATCAAATGATGGTGTTTGAGATAGAAGAAGCAGTCTAGGAGGAGAGCTAACAGGTAGAAAATATGACACGGAAAAGGAAGTTTACATAGGTTTAAAAAAAAAAAAAAAGCTTGCAGTTCTATGAGCTCCTGAAATAGTCCTTAAAGAATCTTATTGATGCAAGGTCCCCTTCATAATCATCTCAGTACAAGCATTTCTATTATAATGCTTTCCTGAACAAAACCTCACAATTCTGCAAGATACACAAAAATATGAGCCTTATGCAATGAAAAGAATTAGAGGGCAGACCACTCAAAACCTATGGAACTTTACCACCAGCACAAAACAAAAACAGTACCAATCCTAATAAAAAATACTAGTATGAGAGAACTGCAACTACCTCCCTTTTGAACTCAAACTTTCTGATTAAGTTCTTCTTTCCAGCTTATCTCACTTTTTTTTTATGATTTTATTTATTCATTTGAGAGAGAGAGCACACGGCGGGGGGGGGAGCGGGGAGAGAAGCAGACTCCCTGCTGAGCCGGGAGGCCGACATGGGGCTCCAACCCAGGACCAGGAGACCATGAGCCAAGTGGAAGGCAGATGCCTAGCCATCTGAGCCACCCAAGCACCCCATCCAGCTTATCTCTTAACTCAGGCAAAAGATCCTGTGGGCACAGCTTCTCCTGATGGGAACCAAAACTAACCCCTCAAGCAGTAAGGACTGTCCGGAGCCAGCAAGACCCCGCCCATGACTGACTCCGAGACAATGATCAACCTGACCCTTACCGCCCTCCTCTGTCCCACACTTTCCTCATATAAACCTTATTTTCAGCACTTCGGACACAGTCTTTAAGACTCCAGGCTGCTGTCAGTGTTGGCTTCACTGAAATAAATTCCTTTTTTTTTTCTTGTGAGTAAAGCAATTGAAGTTTATTAAGTGAAGACACAGAAAAAGCTCTCAAGAGTGAGAGGGGTCCCAAGAGGGTTGCCGAGGGCCTTTAGGGTTGGTCTTTTATAGAAAGCTAACCAGGAAACTTAAATCCATTTAACATCTCTATTAATAACACCTTCAACGGCTTACTTCCTTTTTAGGGGCTGGTTATTCTTTGTTGGTCACAGCTGATTATCATAAAGCACCCAACCCCCACAAGACCCACTCCACCCCACATGCCTAGGGCAGGGAGGGTCCCCCACACCGCTCCTTTCTTGTTTCACTACCACTCATTTCTCCGATTTAGGATTTTGTCGGCAGGGAGGGGCCGAAGCTGGTCTGTCTGGGATCCCTGGAGCCAGGTGCTCTTACACCCCAGTGCCCGGGCTACACAAGCACAGTTAAACCTCTTCTGGCATTTGCACCTAGCATCATAGTCAATCTTCTTTTTTTTTTTTTTTTTAAAGATTTTATTTATTTATTTGACAGAGAGAGACACAGCGAGAGAGGGAACACAAGCAGGGGGAGGGAGAGAGGGAGAAGCAGGCTTCCCGCAGAGCAGGGAGTCCGATGCGGGGCTCGATCCCAAGACCCCGAGATCATGACCTGAGCCGAAGGCAGACGCTTAACGACTGAGCCACCCAGGCGCCCCCATAGTCAATCTTCTATAAACTTAAGCTCTATGGCTTGAAGTTCCCCGTTGATATGTAGTCTCAGAAGGCACTCCTTCCCATAATTTGTTTAATTTTAATCAAAATTAAAGATCAGATCCATGGTAGAGCCTTCTAATCTACTGTTTTAACGTAGGGAGAAATGACTGCAGTTTTTTTCATCTACGTTCTCAACTTTATCACAGCTTAACTTCAGGGGCTTCTGGCTGTACTCATACTACTACTAAAGGTCTTACTTGGTCTGCAGCAGTGCTGTACAATAGAGCTTTTGGTAATGAAGGAGAAATATCATGTCTCTGCACTAATATGGTAGCCACCACCACATGTGGTTATTGAGCACTTGAAATGTGGCTAGTAAAACTGAGAAAATGAATTTCTAATTTTATTCAATTTTATTTAAAACTGAAATAGCCACATGTGGCTACTGGCTACTTACATTAGACAATAGAGCTCTAGGGTTTATCTTCTTACCAACCACATTATCATGTCTTCCTGCAAGCCGTGGCCATCTAGGCAGCCCATATGAGGTCTATGTGATCTCCTCTGACACACACACACCTACACTACTTTTTCATTCTCATTTTTCACAACGCTTCCTCTCTGATTATACTAATATTTCAACTTCTTTAATAGGTCATTTTATTTCTATCTTCTGGGCCAAAGAACATGTCATTCTCTATGCTAGAACAGTCTCCCCACCCTCCAATCCTTTGCCTAACTTGTACTTACTTTTCAAGTCTCAGTTAAAATGTCCCTTTCTCCAAAAGGCCTTCGCAGACCCGGGGCAATCTGCTAACACTTATCACAATTTGTTATCATCAATTCATCTGTGTTTAATGCCTTTTTTGAGTGCAGACAACTTTTTTGAGTGCAGACAACAATTTTGTTTACCACTCTACGTCGTACCTAACGGGGAGTGCTTGGCGCACAATAAATATTTATGGGGAAGAAAAAGGAAGGGAGGTTGGAACACATCCTCGGGGAATTCGACCTCCACAAACCAGAACTTAAAAGTCCTCCCAGCCAAAGCAACTAAGGCAGATCGATGTCTTCGCTCCCCGAGCAAAACTGACCTCAACTGCACCCGGAGTAAGGGCTCTTCAGCTCAGCCCGCCACTCCCTCCCCTCAAGCCTGTTCACTGAGGCCTACGTAACCTCTGCTACACCCCTTTTCCAAAAGAGAATGAGGCGACGGCTGAGTCTAGTGGGCGTCCGCCCCCCACGTACCTTGGACACCGAAGAAGTGGCCATGGTCCCAGCTGCCCGCGGGATTGCAGCTGCACTCGGGATTTCCCGCGCTCCCTCGCGGCAGCAGGGCAGAGGTTAGTGGCGGGCCACGCGGCTTCTTGATTGGTTGGCAGAATCCTCCGGGGCGGGCTTCCGGCGCGCAGAGGCGGGGCGAACGAGGGGGCGGGGCGAGGATCCGGGCCCGGCGGTTGGGGCGCGCTTCGTGGAGGTGGACATGGCTTGTGGCTTCCGCAGGTCCATCGCCTGTCAGGTACGGACCCGGGAACTGGCAGAAGGAAGGCCCGAGCGGAACCCCCACGCCGGGTCAGCCCTCAGTCAGCGAGAGGGGGATTCCATGAAAACCCTGTTTCTGCCGCCTCCTGCCTCCTCTTTGGAGCTGCTCGAGCTGTTGAGGCCGATCTGTTGGAGGGTCGGCCATGCGACCCAAATCGGTTTCTCAAGGTGAAAAGTAAATCTTGAAAAGCAAATGTTGCTTCCCTCACTCCTTTCCACCCCACAGCTTTGTATGCTTTACCCTAGTGGAAAGTCATTGGGCCATGATTAGAACCCTTTAGAAATTAGTGTTCCTTACACTTAGTGAAATTGATTATGGATCTGAATTTTCATTCGAAAGGATCTAATTTAAAATCTGGTCATTTGTCATGGAATCGTTTTGGCCGCCTGTCCTAGCATTATTTTTGGAAACTCCAAAGATAACGTGAGATGCTGTTTTTTCGTGATTCAGAGTCCTCTATGTGAACAGCTCTGTAATAAGGAAAGGAATAAAACACTTAAACATTAGATTTCAGCAAAAACAATTTTTTTTTAAGATTTTATTTATTTATTTGACAGAGAGAGGCACAGCGAGAGAGGGAACACAAGTAGGGGGAGTGGGAGAGGGAGAAGCAGGCTTCCCGCCGAGCAGGGAGCCCGATGCGGGGCTCGATCCCAGGACCCTGGGATCATGACCTGAGCCGAAGGCAGACGCTTAACGACTGAGCCACCCAGGCGCCCCGCAAAAACAATTTTTGAAATTCATTGACCCCTTTTGGAATTTTGCAACGAAACTTTCAATTGTCTCGACAAACCCATTTCCTTTCATTAATGGACATATTAGTGGACGTATTTTGCCTAGTATATAATTTCCCTCGGTTCATTTTTATAGTATTTCTGGACTTTTGTGGGAAAATTGCTCTGCCTTGTCTTTATGCTATAGACTATTGCCCTGTCCAACGCTGGCTTCTCAGATAACACCAACGGACCTTCTGATAGAACAAAGCTAAGTTTATGGTTTACTGGGGTAAGAAAGAACACCAGCAGAGTTTTGGTAGTGTCTGGGAAGGCAAGATCTGATTTTTCTTGAGAATTTGAAGTATGGTTTAAGGCTGGTCTTTCAGTGGCAGAGGGTGAGAGGGCAGGGGAGTGGAGGAGATGGCTTGGTTGGGATTCGATACTGATCTTCACCGTTTTGATTTTTTTTTTTTAAGATTTTATTTTTATTTATTTGAGAGAGAGAATGAGATCGAGCATGAGAGGGGGAAGGGTCAGAGGGAGAAGCAGACTCCCTGCTGAGCAGGGAGCTGGATGCGGGACTCGATCCTGGGACTCCAGGATCATGACCTGAGCCAAGGCAGTCGCTTAACCAACTGAGCCACCCAGGCGCCCTGATCTTCACAGTTTTAAGATTGGAAGAAAGAAGGCAAGGTAGTGCAAGGAATCTTAGAGTATAAACTGTTGGTGCTTTTTTTTTTTTTTTTTGAAGAATTGATTTTTCAAGAAGTTCCTGTAATGAATAATCAAGCTATTTGGGCAGGAATCTCCTGAAATAGTAAAGTTATGCTAACAAAGACAAAGAAATAATAAAGTCATGCTAATGTAGACAGTAGGCTATATCCAGGGTAGGTAGTTTTGGACCTCAGTGTCCAGGCTGTGTTTGGAGTGGGAGAGGTAAGATGATTTCCATTTTCAACCCATAGGTCAAGATAATGTCATGACCAGAAACATTGTGTTTAGTTTTGCAAAGGCTGTATTCTTCCTTGTAAAGAAGGTAAGTTGGAGAAACAGGAACTAATAGGTAGTGTGTATTTGTGCTAGTTACTTTACATTCACATTTAAGCCCCATGATGACCCTATGACATAGAAGTATTAACCTTATACAGTTGAGCAAACTGAGATCCAGAGATTAAAAATCTACCCAAGGCCAGGGTCTACACATGGTCAGTAAATTGAAGAGTTGGTTTATGCACAGGGGTCTAATTTCAAAATCAGCCCTTTCCTATATGCTGTGCTATCAGTTTATAATGGCAAGAAACACAATCTGATCATTAAACAGAATCTAATAGATTTGTATGGCAACATAAACTAAGCAAATATATATTTCTCCAAACATGGAGTCATTGAAGGATGATCTGAAATGAGGTAAAATAAAAATATGTGCAATTGGGGCGCCTGGGTGGCTCAGTCGTAAAGCGTCTGCCTTCGGCTCAGGTCACGATCCCAGGGTCCTGGGATCGAGCCCTGCATCGGGCTCCCTGCTCTGCAGGAAGCCTGCTTCTCCCTCTCCCACTCCCCCTGCTTGTGTTCCCTCTCTCGCTGTGTCTCTCTCTGTCAAATAAAGAAATAAAGTCTTTAAAAAAAAAAAATATGTGCAATACATATCTTTATGAATGAGGATCCTTTGCTAGTTTGGGAGTGAAGGAATGTATTACATGAAATAGCACATTCAGCAAATTTAGATAATGAATCTACATTTTTCTAAGCAGTCCCATTATCATTCCCAAGGTTGAAAGTGAATAGAATATGGCTTCTGTCCTGGCATGGCTCTGGACTAACTTGGGGAAACACATGTATAAACAGCTAATTGCAGTACAGTCTGTAACCAGTGTATTAGAAACATATGTGAGGTGTTAAGGGAATATGGAGAAGACAGCTTCCAAATGTCAGGGAATGCTTTGTGGAAAAGGTAATGTCCTGAAGGAAGGATGGATAGGAGTGTACTAGGTTAGTAGGGTGAGAGCTTGGGGAGTGGTAGGGTATTCCAAGAACATCGTATGTATGGACAACAGAACCATGGGAGAGCATGGTGTATGTTCATGGAAGAACAATATTTGGATACGACTGAAGTTTAGAGTATGCCTCTTGGGCCTCACTTCAGCAAGTCCTTTGGACTCTTATCTTCAAAATACCTTGAATCTATCCATTCTTTTCCATCCCTGTTGCCTTTCCCTTCCGTCACCCCAAACCAAGCTACTATTATCACCTACGTCATCTGCTTACAACAGCATTCTGATGGGTGGGTCTGTTTCCATCCTTGCCCTCCCTCAAATCCATTCTCCTTATAGCAAGAAAAGTGACTTCTCAAATGTAAAATCATGTCACTTACCTATTTAAATAAACTACATTGCACAAACTCTACCAGAACCTTAACATCTTTCTTTACAACATCCATTCATACCACCCTATTCTTCCTTTCTGCAGGATCCTAGCCACACTGTAATTTTGCTTTTCTAACAAAGCAAGGTCTTTCCATTCCCATTGCATAGATATTCCCTGTGCCTAAAGGAAATGATTTTATATCATGACCGTTTGTGCAAAATGGAAGTTTCACAAAACAGTACTTATAATGTGTGTGCATTCTTTTCTACTTATACTACATTTTTCAGAAAATCCTGGTTGGGACTCACTGAATTTATTTCCAACTGAAAACCTCTGGTTTGAAAAGTGTGTCCTCCAGTTGCTCTCTATCTCAGACCCTTGTTTGCTTCCATCATAGCATTTATAAGAGTTAATAATTATTTCATTAGCTAATTAATTATTATTAGGGAATTAGTTATTTTGTTGTTTTGTTTTCCTTGTTTTGGTGTGTTTTCTCTATAGGCTTCGTGAAGACAGAGAGCATGTTTTATTCACTATTTCTCTAGCACCAGCAAAGTGCCTGAAACATAAAAGGCTGTTAATACATATTTAAAGAATAAGCTGTTGTGATGTAATATAAATTTTGCAGCTTCACCAAATGAGTTCATAATTTTAAAACTGTGAGATAGAATGATAAAAGTGGAAAGGATTAAAATCCATTTGTGTGACTAACTGACTCTTGGCAGGTTAATTAACCTGTCAGCTATAAAATGATGGTATTGATTCCAAATTTACAGGATTGTTGCGAGGATTGATGATGATGATGATGAAGACAATAATAACTATTGTTTGTGGAATATCTCACTTGTACCATGCAGTTTTGCTGAACTTTATGGGGCTATTGATAAGATCTAATGACATAATGTTAATTGAAAGGGCATAGTGTCAAGAACTGTGAGGGGTTTGTGACTTTACCTTACTAGTCTACCACAGTTCCATGGGTGGTGGCCAGAAAACATGAGATCCCTGGGTGAGAGAAAAGGATTTTACTATTCGCAGCAATAGCAGTAGCCAGAGTATTAACATTTACTTGCATTGGTTCGCTAAGCCCCTCTTCTAACCACAGGGTGATGTGAAGGTCAGATGATACCTGCACAGGCCGGGTGCTGTGTCACATAAGAGAGGGACCCTGAGGCTTTTAGGATGGGCAGTAAGCATGTTTCCCTTTGCTCTGTAGTGGGATACTGTTTCTGTCTTACAAATCTGTTTGCTATATGAGCATCCTTGAAAAGATTTTATGCCTTGCTTACAAGACATGCAGAAACCTAGGAGTCCCATAGAAATTTGTCTCCCATCACTTAGGACGGTGGTGTACACACAAAGTATACAGTACTTGATATTATCATGTTTAATCTTTACAGTCATCCTATCTGTAGCATTGTCTCCATTTTATAGAGGAGGACACTGACAGGAAGATGAAAAGAATAACCTAAAGTTACAGAGCAACAAAATTGTGGAGTTGAACTACTAACCCAGCTTTTTGACTCAAAGCTCAAATTCTTTGTATTCTGTAGAATAACCTTTGTAAAATGTTCAGCACCGTATTTGGCTCAGAAACATAATGATGGAGTATAGATTTGTTTCCCTTTCTCAGTTCCTTTTCATTTAGATTTTGATGTTAAGTTTAAAACATCCAGCTGAAGGGCGGTAGGGTGGCTC